ATCCAATAATGTCTGGTTCAAGAAGAAAGCAGTCTTCTGGGATTTGGCACCGTGTATATGTGGTGTTTCGGAGGACCAGTCTGCTTTTACCGGTTCTCACGGTCTCTTCGCTTGCAGATTTCTTATATTTTTTCCTACCCTGAAGATGGAGGCGATACGTTCCTCCGAAACGTCGGTTAACACCACATATACACGGTGCCAAATCCCAGAAGACTGCTTTCTTCATAGTCACCGCCGTGAAAGCCTCAAATCTTACAATGTCTGGTTCATTAAACAGTTTGTATAGCTCATGGTTATACCTCCTCCTCCATATTCCATTTTCTTCCACTGGTCCAAAGCTATATCTCAGGATCCTCCTTTCAGATATACTTAACCCACAGTGTACTCTCTGTGAGTTAAGATCTGCTTTGCAGTATAATACTGGTGTAACTTCCGTTGACAATTCAGCGGAAGGAATAATGGATAATGAGTGGAAGTACACTGAGGCAGTGGAAAGATGTCCCTTGGATGGTGGGGATGGCAGTGCTCAAGCTTTCCTCTCTCAGCCTATATTGTACTGGACTTCAACACCCCTTGGCCTATGTCAACAATACAGAAGTGCTTGCAGCTAGCGAAGATTTTTCAGTACCAGCATTTGTGTGAACTGAGTGGCTAGACGAGTGGAGGGAATATAGGGATGTAGAGTGGAGGGGGAAGGGTAAGCTCTCGAGGGAGGGGTGGATGATACATCTAGCTGCACCGAGCATGCTCATGTAGACTTGTATTGAGTAGATATTTGGTTCCAATCCCGGCCGCAACATCAGTTATCCTTACTGAGGTTTTACATGTTCTTTCTCAGCCCCTCCATGTAATTATTGGAATAATACCATGAGAGGTACCTTCCAGATCCTTCGCAGTTCATCCTGCAAGCATGCAGTGTAGGTACTGACACCGTTATAAATAAGCCACAAATGGAAACCAGCCTCTCGTCGCCTCAGAGTTGTGCACGTGTTGCGGAATCTTCCCTGAACTTCTTGTTTATAATGAATTATTTGTAGTCTTGCCTTTGTGTCGCGCACTGCGGTTAGGTTAGTTACTGAACCTGTCAGCAGGTGTCTCCCGCAGCACCTGTTGCACAGCCGCGAGATCTCGAAGCAGCTCCCTCGGTGCCTCGGATTGTTGTGAATGGAACTCACACCAATGTGACGCAATGCAACGCGAGATACGGGAGCCGTAGTTTCGCCTGCACGAATTCGTTTGCGCGACCATCCACTTATCGATTCATCATTCACTGAACAATTCATAACACTCCCCCGTCACTCGGTCGTTTAACGGAAGTCCATCCACCTTACGAACCATTGTAAGGCAACCTTACGTAAGAAAATTTCTCTCTGTACATGTATTTTAATTTCCCACCGGCGTATGAATACCGGGAATATGTTGGCAACTTACGTAACTCTCTAATGATGACGTAATGGTTACGTCACTAACATGATGACGCAATCTCGTCCCAGTAGCAGATGGAGGATAACTAACCCCACGGACCTGAATCATTAATGAGAAGCCAATGGTCGCTCATCTATTAAATCATTTATCTTCCTTTAAGTAACTACAGCGTTCATTACCATGTTCACAACATGGAGTACTTCTTGAGAAGCTGCTAGTGGCTCGGCTGCTTAAGAAATTCCAAGACTTTTATGTCACCGAACAGTTCATTACCATGTGCACAAGAGCTTGCCTCAACTAATTCCATGGGCAGAGTGTTTGATAACCTAATAGTCGCTCAGCTACTCAAGATATTTCGTGCGTTTCATGGAACCAGAAATTTCAGTACCCTGTTCACAAAAGCACGCAAATTTTTTATATATATGAGCTAGACCAATCCAGTATACGCCATCCCGTCTTACGTCTCTAATACTGCTACTCCTACTTCTACAAAACTGGTTTTAATATTTTTGTCCCATCTACACTTAGATCTTACGAGTTAACTTTTTCCTTCCGATCTTCCTATCGAAAAGAACTAATAGGCAGTACACAGGCTGAGGTATCCGGGTTTATAAACCATAATTAATAATCGAATGCAGAGAGTTAAGTCCGTTTTGAGAGTCTAATAGTCGCTCATCTCTCCAAGAATTTCTAACCCAAGGGTTCTTTACTGTATTCACAAAAGCCAAGCGCTTGTCCCTATCGTCAGCCAGATGAATACACTCCACAGAATTCCATCCTCTTTCCTTAAGATCCATTTTAATATCACCTTTCCGTCTTCGCCGAGTGTTACAGGTTGCCTAACCAGACGTTTATGCTGCCTTTTCATGTCTGTGGTTCCGATGAACATAGTATCTCCATCTTCAGGGTCGAATGAAAGAGGCAAGAAACTAAGATGAAGCATGTAGCAAAACCGGTCTGAAGATATTCTTCCGAAACGTCTATTGATTTTTCACTCCTACACCGCATTATATTCCAGAATATATATATACTAATTATTTTCACAGTGCTTGTTAAAGGGTTCGACTTATGAAGGCCCTAATTGTGTACCCTTATCTTACTTGTTTTCCATCCTAAATGCAGATGCTTATGTATTATTGTGTTGTTCCCGCAGATCCGCTCGCATTGCTCGTACCCCTGCGAGTGCTCTTCGCTACCACCCGCATGTCCGGCAGGAGTCTCGGTTGTGCGGGATGGCTGTGGATGCTGCGCCATCTGCGCGCGCCAGCAAGGCGAGCAGTGTGACGGCACGACGCTGTGTGACGAGAAGCGCGGCCTCGTGTGTCAGTACCCGCATCGCGCCACCGTCAAGGGCGTCTGCCAAGGTAACACACGCCGTGTGCGAGGCAGTTCTCACGTGACTAGGACTTAGCAAGTCAGCGCCAGGCCGGTACTTCCCCTAGTCAGTTCTAGTTCAGGTAGCGACAAAATTCTCCTCTCCACGCCGTCCAGGCCGGCTCTGGTGCCCACCCAACCTCCTATGCAGTGGGTAAAGCGGCCGAGATCAAGAATATATGGATCTATTCATCCTCTCCCCCATGCGTCTTCACGGCGTAGTGCTTAATTAGTTAAGCACAGAGACAACTTTAGCTTTTTGTTTCCCTAATGATTGCTGCAACCGGTCACAGTGGCCGCACGGTCTAAGGCATGAACTGTCTTCGGACGCTGGGATCCTGGGTACGAATCCCACTCAGGGCATGGATGTTTGGTGTGTGTATGCGTTTATTCTGTGTTTGTGTTGCCTTGTGTTTAGGTAGCGGCCTTGTGACAGGCTGATCACTCGTCTAAGTNTCTTCGGACGCTGGGATCCTGGGTACGAATCCCACTCAGGGCATGGTAGAGGCCTTGTGACAGGCTGATCACTCGCCCAAGGAGCCCTACCGTCTGTGAAAATGATTGCGGAACTGAATGAGAGGCCTGGGCCCTGAATGGGCTGGAAATGCCATTAAAAATGATTACTAGAACCCTTTGAAGCCTGAACGAGTCAGAGTGGACCGAGTAGAGAAGAAACAGTGAGAGAAGCTAAATTTTATGGGAGGAAGCTGAACACTCGCCTCTATTTAGTGCCGAGGCAAAAAATGATGGAGCTATACCTCCACTTCTCTATTCTCATTCGTGGTGAGGTGCTGAATTAATAAAACTCAGGGATAAATTTCGCATTTAACCAAACAACTTTCAGCTCCGAAGTTTCCAGGCCGTGCCCATTCGTCCTTCTGGTAAAGGCAGGTTAGGGAGAGTGAATTAAAGTGGGATAAATGAGGCAAAGCGATGGGAAGTTAATTTTGTTATGAGCAGACTGAAGCCTCGTACAGAAACACAGCGCCTCCATAATGGGGACCAACTGCTTAGTACCGTTCAGGAAAAGAATCGCTGTTTGTTGAGAGAACCGTACGGAACAAACAAATGCATTAAACATGTGATTAAATAAGGTAAAGCTATCCCAGTAACGGACCGTGGAGGCCCATAGGGCTGTGAGACGTCGAGGCTCCCACATTTTCTCTAGACAATGGGCTCAGAGATGGCGGTGAGGTTATCAGCCTTACGCGCCGGCCGCCCTTTACCCACCAGGAAGATTCGTGGTACTCATTTCTGTTAGAGGCTGAGTCGACCCCAGGTCCATAATGCGGCTGGAAGGATTAGGTGAATTAAAAAAAAACTAATAACCTCATCGGGAATCGAACCCTCGATCTTCCGGCTTGTAGCATAGTGCCTCAACCCACTACGCTGCCACGTTGCCCCTAATAAAATAACAAAAATGAAATTATAATTCAGATGATCATTATGACAAAATAATGACACAGACGCTGAAATGTTGCGTACTCCTGGCTGCTGACGTCACTTCCCGTGCCCTTCCAGTATATCGGCCCTCTCTCTATGTGCGGAGTGAAAGTTCGAGTTTGTGGGCTGTGCTGTTTCTGACCTCCCGCCTGCCCCCGGCGCCTGGGGCAGACTTTGATAATTGCTCTCCGCCATGAGCCCCCCCCCCACTGCATGCCGTTGCCCCGACAACCACAGCCCCGCTATCAATATTCTCTGCCGGCCCATCATCCTTTTGTCTCAACAGCAACTTTTTTGTATGAGGCTTCATTGTGTGATAAAAGCAATTTTATCTCTGCTCGCATTATGGCCTTTTATCGTCACTTTTATCTCTCGGCCCCTTTTTATATACAGGGTGATCCGGGCGATGGACGAGTTTTCAGTTAATAGACTTCACACAGTTCCGGTGCTAGAAAAGGAGGCTGTATGGGCCCCAAAGTTGCTTTGGACGCTGTGGGGAAGTTCCGTTTCATGCTGGTGTCTTGCTTGGCTTGACCACCTCTGTGGTCTAGTGGAGAGAGTTTCTGGCTACAGAGCCAGAGGTCCCGGGTTCGATTCCTGGCGCTACCAGGTTTTCTGAGAGGTAGTGGGTCTGAAACGGGGTACACTCAGCCCCGCGAGCATAATTCAGGAGCTGTTCAAAGGAAATAGCGGCTTCGGTCTAGAAAACCGAGATTAACGGCCGTGGGGATTCGTTGCGCTGACCGCGCGACACCGTCAGTGTGCTAAAGTTGACACTAACTTCGCCGATAAGCGGCTGTCGCTTGGTCGGTATAGTTTACTTGCGGATTACAGACCACTGAGTTAGTTTTAGTTAGTCTTGCTTGGCTTATTCTTTTACCCTGAAGATTGAGGTAAAATTTTCGTCCGAAGCGTCTGTTGATTTCAGCGAACTACACGGTGCTGTATCCCGCTGAAGCCTTAGATCTGTTTGTGTAATTATCTGCTGCAGAATGAGGTAGGTCAAATTATGAGGCTGGGAGTACCCACATTGAAATTATGGGACGGTCTTTTAGGTTGCAAATTGCCTTGTTTATTCCATCTTCTTTTTGTGGCTGGGAAGTGCGCAGACCGTGCGGTGTGAAGCAGACAAATGAACAGAGTCCAGTGCAATGTGCTGTAAGGGGTTTGGATCCATGTCTCTGTGGGCGTCACTATGTCCGTGTGGTCTCAAACCCAACTCACTCCTGGCGATATAGACTGCAGCAAAACTCAGCGGTTTTCAATCACTCTCCCGCTGATCAAACCAAACTCAATTTGTATAAATAATATAATCTGTCAATAAATTCAATAACCAGTCGTTATAGCGACACGCTACGGACTGGAGACGAAGGGATCGGTGTTCGAGTCCCGGTAGGGTAAAAAATTTTGTATTCTCCACGTCATCCAGCCCGGCTCTGGGGCCCACCCAGCCTCCTATCTAATGGGTACCGGTGGCTCTTTCCCGGGGGTAAAGCGGCCGGGGCGTGAATCCGACAACTTACATCCAACTAGTGCCTAGATCAAGAAAACGTGGATCTGTACATCCACTCCACCATACGCCCTCATGGCGTAGTGCTTAATTACTTATACGCAGCAACAACTTTACCTCTATGTTAGAGTTGAAGTTATCAAGAATACGGTCATTATGCGATGTGACGCCGTGTAGTTTATTAAATGGCTAATGTTATTTTGGAGGAATATATGTCTGCCATCTTCAGAGTAGTAGAACCATTCTGCTCATATATATATATATATGGTTTCTTTATCTTGAAACGGGAGGCAGGAATTTCCTTCGAATCTTCAACACCTCGCTACCAAGCTACAAAGCGCCAAATCCCATCACTATGTACAAGTAGTGTGACAGGGACTCAATACTTTCCTATGGCATTTCGTGGATTTGCAGGGCGCAGCGGTACAGACGTACCCACAGCTCAGATACGTAACTGAGAGACAAAGACATAGATGGAGCGAAAATTATGCTGTCGATATTGGACAACTGGGACACGAAATTTGGAGGATTGGCTTCAGTTGGCCCAGGATATTGTCCAATAGGTGGCTTTTGTGAACACCATCGTGAACATTTGGGCATCTTGATAATGTCTTGAGTGGCTGAGGATCTGTCAGATTCTCAAGGACGACTCAGGTCCATGATAGCTGTTTTGTTGATGAAGTGGTTATTTAGGTAGTGAATTAGAGAGTTGGTTAGGTAGCTAGTCACCCAGTGGTTAACTAGTTAGTTAGTTATGGCGGGACACGGCATAGCTCAGGCGGTTAGTCCCTGGCTTCCCATTGCGGCGGCCCGGTTTCGAGCCCGGGTCTGGTCACGTGGTGGACAAAGTGGCACTCGGGTAGGTTTTCTCCGACTACTTCGGTTTCTCCTGCCAATTCTCATTCCACCGACTGCTCTACACTCATCATCATCTATCGTCCGGAGCTGGAACAGTAGGCCAGTTAGTTTTTCGGTTAATTTTTTTGTTGGTGTGTGTTTCTCGAGTTGCGACACGGTTTGTCCACCACGGCTCTGATAAACGCAGACAAAGGGGGTGGGGCCTGTTGAGGCCCAGACACTTGCTGCTTCTACTGGTTTGTAGGTGATGCCACCAACTGCAGACAAATGCAGTGCGCCTGCCACGTCACCTCCCGGTGTGTTCCCACGACCCGCAATCAGTAACGGGTTTACAATGAAGACGCCTTTACGGCAGTGATTAAGCTGACTTGGTTTATACAGCGTGGTACTCCAGGAACTATAGTAAAGCTGATGTTCCTGTGCTTAATTAAGCACCACGCCATAATGGTGGTATAGCTCCACACATTCTTGATCTCACCACTTGAGGAGGTGAATGGTCAGCTTCGTGCCCCAGAACGCCGGGTAACCGTTGTGTGTGAAGTTGGGTGCACCTCGAGGGCGGTCTGCGCGCAAAATGTTTTGCCTTTGCCTGAAATCGAACCCTGATTCCTTGGCCATCCGACTCGTAGCCCGTCACTGTACGTACGGAGCTCAAGAAACTGGCATCTAATGGGTTATCTCAGCGGTTGTCAGGCGCTTCACGCCACAGCCGGAGTTCTTCTGATGATACTCTGATCATTGGCGAGTTCGGACCGGAAAGATACCAGACATGGTCAGTCTATGCGTCCGTCCCGTCCTGGAGATGGTAATAGCCTTATGGAGAGAAAACCTGGGGGGAATTGTTAGTTCTGACTGTTACTTCCGTCTCAGCAAAAGCATTGGTATCGACAGTGACAGTAACTTTCGTATTGTCACGTGTATTAGTGAGTAAGACGCGGGTCTGGATTGACAATCGGTTTGTTGGATGACTGCCAGTCGTAACTACAGAGAATTATAACACTCCAAATTATTGTAAGATTTGAGGCTTTCACGGCGGTGAGTATGAAGAAAGCAGTTTTCTGGGATTTGGCACCGTGTATATGTGGTGTTAACCGACGTTTCGGAGGAACGTATCGCCTCCATCTTCAGGGTAGAAGAAAAAATATAAGAAATCTGCAAGCGAAGAGACCGTGAGAACCG